ATGCTGTAGATGACAGATAGGAAGGAAGGACCTGGTGGCTTAGAGGTGAATTTTCAAATGAATGTATTCTGCTTGTAGCTATGGAATTATGCAAATGGTTAGGAGTTTTATAACTCCTCCTGGTTTACTAAGGTGGAGACTCAACTTGTTTCCAACAATTTTTGTGGATGGAAACTCAATTTCGAGGCGCTTGGTCTCGCTAAGACGCTGCCCTTCCTCTCATCTCCTACTCTGAACGGCGCGAGGATCTGGCGACATATCGCCACCCACTTTTTGCATTCAAATCGTGGAAACGATAGAAGAAGAACAATACGCTAAGTCCGCAGCCTTCGGATAAGTCTGCACGAGATGACACTGGCTAACTTTAGCAACACGCATTGCGTTTGGATGTACGCGTCACGATCGTCGAGCAATCAAGGTTTTACTTCCCGAATAGAGATTCTTGCTCAACGGGCCCGCATTAAGTTGCGATAAGTCCAAAACAATATTCTTCATGACCTTTTCTAGCAAAAATTATGAATCAAAAAGTGATAGTATGCCACCCAGTGTCATCGACACAGGCACTGCCCACGGCACGAATTCTCTTCTGGTTTTAATCGCCCGGTTATCCAATACCTACAACTCGTCACATGTTTGTACCTTGGGAGCGGTACCTGCGAGGGATCGAAAAATGGCTGTTAGACTTCGTATGATAAGCTAGGATATATACATTTACATGGATTTACCCGTGTGAATCTTTCGCCTTTTTGCTAGACTGCATTTTGGGTGTAATCATAACTAAGAAATTACAAACTAAATCTAAAACTACATGAGGACTATGTGGTCCACAATGACAATCAAATCGAAATATTGAGTGATAGGAGGTGAAATCCTTTACAAGTTCTGACGAAAAATGTCAATTCGCGAGCTGCTATCTCTGAGCTTGCGCGCGCCGGAGCCTCAGCGTTTGGCCGCCGAATTGGAGCTACAGCAGCTTCAAAAGGCACCTCTTACCGCCTCATTTGTCGATTCAATGCTCAATATGTTTTTGGTGGTCCCTAATGTCGATCGAACGCCGCGCAATCCAGTCGAGGTCGATTCAGACGACTCGGACTTGCGTTTACTGGCTGTTCTATGGCTCAAACACTACATCAAACAGCAATGGAGGGCTCACAAGAAGACAAATATGCTGAACGATGCGGAACGCGATCATATACGCGGCGTATTGCTGTTTGCAGCGCTGCACGAGCCGCACCAGACAGTGGCGCTGCATTTGTCATTTATCGTCGCCATAATTGCGCGCGCTGACTTTTCAAGTCAGTGGAGCTTTGAGGAACTTTTTTCAGTGATGATGCAGCCATTAAGACGGCCACACGGAGCTGTAGACATGGTCGCCGAGCGACGAAGCGTGGACGTGTGCTATCGTGTAATTAAGGAGCTGGCAGCGAGGCGTCTGATGCAGCACCGCAAACAATTTGCAATGATGAGCGTTGAGATGCTACCTCTATTGCTGCAGTACTGGACAGTAACAGCTACGCAACTGAACAATTACCTTCAGACCGAGGAAGGAGCAATAAGAGAGACGATAGTAGAGAAGCTGGAAAAGCTGTGTGCAGTAACAGGTGCACAACAGTTGCATGTACTAGTAAGAACCACCAAGCTAATTTCAACGATGTTGCTTCACGCATTTAGAGACTTGTCGACAGTGCAGAATGGAGAGCTCATACGATCAGCGTTGATTGAGTTTTACAAACAATTGGAAAGCATAGTGAAGTTCCGACATGCATTTGAGGCTCAAATTGAGAAGTTTAGTCGTATCAAGCATACATCGAAGATGGAAGAAGCGACACAAACACTTGACAAGTATATGCATCATATTGCTGCTATCGTCGTGGAGGTGCAGCACGCGTATCCCGTAGAGTTTCGACAGTACTTATCACCGTACCTCACATTGTTCTGGAATGTGTTAAATGTATTCTCCTCAACTTCCTTGACGGTCCTTGCGGCACCTAAGCGTCTACAGATAGATGCTCTCAACTTCTTTGCTAACGTACTGAGCTGTCGGCTGTACAAAAATGAAAGTCTCATGCGTTCTGATGGGACGACGCGAATTATCGCGAAGGTTATCACAGCAGCTGGAGAAGTCGCGTTAACGGACACCATGGTGATCGAAGCACAAACGTCATTGCAGAACTTTTTCACGCAAACCGAAAATCGCTTTAAATCCATGATTAACCTATTGATTATGCACTACATGATGCTGACTCCTGGAGATCTAGATAAGTGGCTGAGTGAACCAGAGACATACTTTGCTCTCATGGAAAGCTTAACAGCAAAAGAGTCAGTACGTTCCTGTGCTGAAAATTTATATCTTACAGTGGTGCAAAATTTTCCAGGCCAGACAATCCCAGCATTGACTCAAATTGTCTCCAGTATCGCGGCATATCTAATAGAATTGGGTCGTGGACAAATATCTACTGCTGGTGATGATGGACGAGTTCTTGAAATAGATGCAGTGCTCGTAGCTATTGGTTTGGGTTGTTATGATCTCCACGATTGCTTCGAATTTGAGCCATGGTTTCTTGCCAACCTGGTACCGATTCTCATTAACCAAGATGCAGCGGTTGGCTCATTTCGGGGACTTCCAATTCTACGTTATCGTATTGTTTGGCTTGTTAGCTGCTATCTTGCTCAGCTATCAACTAGTGTAAGACCGCCACTATACGATGCGCTTTTAAATTTGCCAGTATTTCAGCAAACGGACACCGGTGTTGCGCTCAGTTTGCGCATTATACAGACATTAGAGTCTATGGTGAGTGACTGGGGATTTGAATACGATCCGTTTGCTCAATTTCTGCCGCGATCACTTGAGTATTTGTTCGCCACTTTCCCCCAAGCAGTGGAATTGGAGAGCCAGATGAAAATATTTGATTGTCTCGAAGCGATTATTCAAGCTTGTGGTGCCCATATTCTTAAGTTTTCCCAAAAAGTTATAGGACCGCTTCCCACGATTTGGGCAAGCGAAAGTGATGCGAGCAATTTGGTTCGAAGCAAAATTCTCCGGCTGATGACCAAACTTGTGTCCTGTCTCAAGGGATTACATTATGATGTATCGCTTGAAGCTGGCGACACGGACGCATTGCTAGCTATGAGCACACAGTTGATTCATTTTTCAACTGATGTTTCAAACCCGGACCACGTTTGTTTAGTAGAAAGTGGGTTGGAACTTTGGAATGAGACGGTTGACGCGTCCACAGTGTACACCAAAGAGTTTCACGTTCTCTTCAGCCAGACAATGTATTTAATGGATCGTGACTATGAGCATGTCGTGCTTTTACTTAGACTATTGAAGAATTACGTACGACTAGGAAAAATTCAGTTCTGGCATGACCACCAGACAATCGTGTGTAAGCTTTTGCTGGGTGTAATTGGCAACGTAAAGGCTGAAGCCTCATTGCAAATTGCTCAAGTCGCAGAAGATATTGTTGCGACAATCTCCATTGATCAGTTGTCTTCAATTGTACCTGTGGTGAAATCTATGGTGAGATCGTGCATCCAGTCTCAGCATGTCAAAGCCAACCACGAGCCGGAATCTGTACTAGCTGCTTATTTGAGTGTCCTAGCTCGGCTGATGGTCACAAGCATTGATTTCACGCTGAATGTTGTGCTGATGAACGACCACATAGTGCTAGCAGTACTTGTGAATGTAATGCTAAGGCTATTTTACACTGTTGGTGAATCCCAGCTGACACTGTTACGTCGAAAGTTGTGGGCGGCAGCACTGTGCTTAATATCGATGATGGCTGAGCAACAAATGTTAGAAAAGATTGGCCAGGTACTAGAGATCTGTGCTGAAGTTATTAATGACGAGCCAGAGGAGAGGGCAGAACAAGAGGCGGTCGTCGATAGCAGCGAAAAAATCGATCAGTCTGAAGTCTTTGGTGTTGAGCAAGCTGGATTTACAAACCACCAACAAAACTTAAGTGAACAAGATGCTAGTGTATTAGCACTAGATTTGAGATCTTTCGTTTGCGAGCGAATGAACATCCTTGCATCAAAGCTGGGTCGCTCAGCTTTTGATCAAATTTTAGAAACAGTGGATATATCTGTGCTGCGCAAATTTCAAGCGTAATACGTGCATGGCTAATTTTGCATATGGCATACCAAATTCCATATAACGGAGATGTCCGAATGAAATGAAATCGGCCAATGTTTCTATTAAATATTAGAAGACCAGCTTATATTCTGGGTAATAGACAATGCTTCCCGCTCACTTGAAGCATTCTCGACGATGGCACGCCGAAACTCAATCCAAGCAGGAAGTAATCAAGTGGATTCAGTGAGTGGGAGGCAGCGTACCCTCGCAAGCGGTGTCTCTCTTCCGCAAGATGGGTCTTGACGTGGATGGGGTTGCCATTTAGAAATAGTGACCTAAGCGTGATGACATTCTGGCGACAAATTCATTTCAGAAGCGCCTTGCTGGTGGTGAGCATAAGCTTATCCCACTCGATATAGAGACCATGCTCTGCGACGAGATCGCTCAGCAAAGAAAAAGGTATCATGTGCCTGAATTGTCGACATGGATAAGGTCATTTGAACATTGCTGCATGTCCCCCAAGCCATTTATAGCATCGACGCATTGACTAGCCTACTTCATGGACAAGTTAAGTTTCTCGCTCCGCCACAGGACTATTCTCACTAGGACCAATCTCACAATTCTCACGGACAAGAAGCTCATTCCGCAAGTGATCTCCTACATGCAATACTTGACTGGTGCAAAGTTTAGCATGCTCGTGGTTGAGACAGCGGTCTGCTACGAGGACACGGGAGCCGTGACTGTCGATCACACCGGTGCAGTCATTCGGTCGGCTGGATTTGCGTCGACGCGCATTACTGTCATCCTTAACGTGACGTGAAGTGGATTATGTTAATTTTCGTTCTCATTTAAACCGGTCAGATTGTTTCAAAAGATCAATGGTGTCTACGTCACAAACCAGCCGCGAGCATGGGTTGACAGCGCATGGTTGAAGCGGCGGATTGCCTCTTCTTGACACCAGTGAAAGACACTATCTCGTTTGAGACTCGATCAGGGCCCACATCTCCAAGAAAGACACATCTCCAAGAAAGACGCTACAAGTGTCATAGACCAGAGATTGAAATGTGTGTTGTTTCTGGCGGACTCACTTACCGGCTGGTGGTATCGCTATCTACAGAGAGTATAAGGACATTGTGACTGCTGAGATCAACGCGCGGAAGGAGGGCGATCAAGTCTCGTAAATATAATTTTCTAATCCTCGTATTTGTAAGATGGAAGTTTTTTGTGGCTGGGTTCGTCATGCATCGCGCGAGCCACCGCTCCTAACTATATCGCTGCTGCAGGCTACTCCGACAACGCCTATGATAGGTGCATTACCCGCCACGATCGTGTATAAAGATATTTTCTTGCGGCTTAGAAGACCAAAAAGACTGAAATTGACTCAACACATGAGTTCATCGACTGCCTAGATGACATCTGCATCATTCATGATGATCAAAAGCTCAATTCCCGAACAGTGGCCGTTTTTAGAAATTGTTTACTACAATTATTTAGAAGACGGGTTTTTGATTGGTCACTTTCGCTATTTTTGCACAGGCAATTTAAGCAAATTTCCCATGGAATCAATTCCTTTTAATTTGGTGTACGTGACATGGTTACATATAGAAAGTGAAGCTAGAATTTGTGTTTTAAGTCTGTCTACCGCACCCTTCCTCGAGCAAGGTATTGTGAAAAAATCTGTAGCACTTTCATTTAAAGAGTTCTCCAATTTTTCAATATTTACTGAGAGATTTGATGAAAAAAATTAAGATCCCATCAACTGATTGCAGCGAGGCTTTAGGCGTTTAACATCAACGTTCCCGCTTTTGCCAGACCTAATTGATTCAAGGTAATCGTTTATTACGTACGTCTAAAGCAGTAGCCACTTCGCGGAAACCGTGAAGATGCCAAAGTATGAATACATTAATCATGTGTTTCGCGACGTGGATACGGCCGAAAGGATCAAATATTGCGTTAGATTTGACGTATGCGTACTTGTGCGTGGTGACGTCGATGGCCTTCATCTGCGTCTATGTGTCTTCAAATGAATACAAAAAATATTGACGGTGTGTCTATGTGTCTTCAAGTGAATATTTAAAAAATATTGACGGTGTGAAACGTTGTCTTGTCCTAAACTTTGACGGATGACTTGCTAATCGAATGTCGTGAAGTTTTGGCGCACCGCAATTCCCTCTCAGTATGGCTATGGTGAGTCATAACCTCACCGCTGCTTAGGCTGGCACTAATCACGATAGCTTACGTACAGAGTATGGAAATGCTTACATTATCAAGCAAAGATATTAGCGAGCGCCTGAAGCAGAGTTTAAAAGGCAGAGCGGAAGTGTCAGAGTTTGTAACGGGCTTACAGGTACCCTGGTATGAAGGGGTAGGTCACATAAGATGGTATGACCACACAATGGTGTTGCTACACAATGGTGTTGCTACATCTAGACAGAGAGTAGTTGTTATGCATGTATTTAATCCGGGGAATCTGTAGATTTAAATATACGCGGCTTTGCCGCAAATAACAAAGATCTACAGTTTATATCTTGAGCGGAAGAGGTTATTTGCCTTGTGTCAAGCACTCTTGGAGTAAGCAGATCCGCTACAATCGTAAATGATTTTAGTATAAAACGTAAGGTTGGTGACATTAGCTTAGCTTCCCTTAAGCAAAAGAGCTACGGCAGCCCTGCTGCATGATCGGATCATACTTCATTACAAGTAGCTCCTTATGATTTACACAGTAGTTATCCTCAGCAGAGTTCATCTGGCCACACTCAAACGCGACAACGCTTTCATGTTCATTTATAGCTAATAAGAATAAGTCACAGCAGATTGTCATGGCTGAAGCGTCATAGACGGTATAGAATGGTTGTGTAGAGCTCGAAAAAGCCTGGATAGGGGTATAAATTAAGCTTGTTTTATGGCTAAAAAATTTGCATTCTTGGCTGCACTTCAACCTCATGAGCAGAGGATCTGCTCGATCTTCAATGGCTTAAGCTTTGCTTTTGCTCATCCCCAATCGCCTACAGCTTATAAGGGGTGTAGCGAGTGCAATTCTGCTGCAGGTTATGATTATAATGAGGCAGCTCGGAATGAGAAATTTGTCGGTGCAACGACACGCTTATTATATTTAATGTAACAGGGTGCGGTTCACAAACAGTCTGTCAAACACAACAAACATGCTTGTGCGACGAGTCCGACTTGGAGGGAAGAAGAACGACGTAAGCCTTTTCAGGCAAATTTGCAGGTGAATTAAAATGTGTTATGGTTCCTAGCTAAATGCGAAGCACCCTAATGTTTCCTAGAGGCTCTAGTGATGAAACCTCAGGTTCCTAGATCATAATTTTAAGGGTGTAATGAGGTTGAGCCTCAGATTCAATTGATACAAGTTATTGGGCGTCTGGAGCTTGAACTTCAGAAGTTTGAACTTCAACTTGTGTGAAAAGTGTCCAGTAGATGGACTGGCTTACGCTGTCCACTACGAGAGCTTGAGCTTCAACTTTCGTGAAAAACTCCAGTAGAAGTGGCTACCCACTTCTAATGACAAAGAGACGTCGGTCTCGTCGCCAGTATAGATCCCCAAGTAGGGACCAGCATTCTGTATGACGCAAAATGTCTGTGACTTCAAATCAGAAATCACGAATGCATTTGAGAACACCAGACTGTAAATTTCTTATATCAATTCCCACAATGCATTCAGAAGTAACCCTTCATGTAATGGCTAAGTGTGGCTCATTCCATTTGGCAAATGAATTTTCTTAGCGGATGCGCTCGAGCACTGATCACAAGTGTCTGATGTAACTATCACAACCGATAATTTGCGCCTGCACGATTATGAATGGATATATTGTCGATGGAGGTCTGTGCAGGGGCACAATGTGGCCCGCTCAGCTGCATCATAATTGAACGTTTTATGCAGCGGGGTTGTCGGAGCTCTTTGCTTAGAAGGAGCTAAGCTAAGGCCACCGACCTTACGTTTTTTACAAGAATTAGTACTAGTGTGGCGGGTCGCAATTCGCTACCTCCAAGTGCTATACACCTTGAACAAGGTAAATGAACTCTTTCGTTCAAGATTGAAACTGTATTTAATTATTTTAGTCCGGCAGAGCAGCCAATATCTTAAACCATAGGTTTTTCTGATTAACATAGTAATACCGAATTAATATAGGATCATACAGTACTACTGGCAATCCTGCCACGTGGTGGCTTCTTGGTTGGTGTAATACACACCTATGTTCGGTCACACCATCTTGTTCGATCCGTCCTTTCATACAAGGGTACGTGTAACTCCGTTACATTATTGGTGCATTAAACAATGCATGTTGCATGAACACCCATGCCAAGATCACTAAATATCCAAGGAAAAATCGCTGTATCTTATCAGCAAGAAATGAATGTCATCAACTGGGCGAGGGTCCAGAACATAGCGTAGCTGAATATATTATTCTCAAGCACACGTTTTTTAGAAATCGTTTCCAGTCATGACTTCAGTTAATTTCTGATGAGCATGCATAGTTTACCACATACCGTCAGAATTCTGGCACAGACTGTCACAACGGAATCGAAAAACGCCAATCTGGTCCCTTGGTACGAGCCAATACCGTTTAGCGCAAAATTTAGTTAATATTTCTTCCCTGGAGCGCGTCATGAAATTGAATCAGGTCTATTTCATGACTACCCAAAAAAAGCATGCATGGTGAATTTCTTAGCACCACCTAATTATATATCTTAAATATAAAATCGAAGGAATCCGTTTGTCCTTGAGGCTCCCTATCCCGCGTCCGGCAAGATGTGTTCCGTATGTGGCTCAATGGCGGATATATCTACGATAGATGATAAGCTCGGCACTTCCTACAATGGCGGCCGAAACATCTGGTGACGTCACCGCCCATCAATACAGCCACATCCCAATGAATCCACGTCTCCGATTCGATAAGAAATTTGGCCTGATATAGTGGGATAAGACTTGCAAGCCCTAGGACAACTTTGGATAATCGTTCTCAAGAAAAAAAAATATTGCTACTTACCCTTTGATCGTCATAATATCGCGCAGTGGGTCTGCCATTTAGTCTGAGTAAACTTAGCTGTTATAATTATATCATAACAGCGGTAACGCTTTCACCATGACCCTATCAATTGCAAATTGCAGTTGACTTTACCTCTTTCGGCTTCACCACAGGGGATTAAAACCAATCACTTCCACCCCCACTGTTTATGGCGCAAAAAACCCTGCTAACAGCTGCTCATTATCAATCAGCCGAAGATCCACTCTGGATTCACGACTCCCCGACCTTCCCTTCTGTCGCAATAAATATGCATTCTAAAACCGCAGTATAAGCTCGCTTTTACCCTGCAGCGGGGCTGCCGTAGCTCTTTGGAAGCTATGCTAAGGTCACCGACCTTACGTTCTATACTAGAATCTGTACTAGTGTAGCGGATCGCAATCCGCTCACTCCAAGAGCAACCACAACTATAACCCAAGGCAAATAAACTTTTTCGCTCAAAACTGTATTTGTTTTATTTGCAGCAGAGCCGCCTATAGCTGAGTCTATAGGTTTTCTTAATAGTAATACCTAGTTAAACTGCTGGCATCCCCGCCACGAAGTGGCTTCTTGTTAAGATATAGCCACACCATTGTGTGGTCACACCATCTTCTGTCACCCACCCCTTCATAGTAGGGTACGTGTATCCTTGTTACAGATCAAGTACAGCGCGTACCAACTTGGCCTCAAGCCGATTGTTTTCTAAACATTTGATTTACCGAACTGTCGTCACACCACTCGCAGAGAGGCCAAAATTCATATTCTTTTTTGCCGAGTGAGTCTTCGAGGAACGCTTTAATCTGGTCGAGCTCATTGGGGTGGCAGATGCGCAACCGTTCCCTGACTTAGAAATATAGCAATCAGCATGTCTCGATGGCGACGATCCCAATTGGTGACGTGGACGTTTTGTGTACGGGTCGAACGCGACATGTGTCGCGCTACGAAAAGCCTTGAAAAGAAAGGGGCTAAGAACTCAGATCTATCAAAGAGCGCGGTTGCACGCTGCACCGCTATGCCGTATTCCAACAATTGCTGTATCTCATCACCGAGCCACATGACACTCAGCTTGTAGTCAATTCTCACGCGATGTCCACAAGTTCAAAATACTGTTTATGAACCCCATTTGGTGGTATACTCGGCAGAAAAAGTTTAACTGGGTGACGTGTAACGGGGTCACACAAGATGGTGTGAACACACAGTGTTGTGGGTTACACAAGATGATGTGGTCACAAATTGGTGTGGTTTACAAAAGATGGTGTGACCACAGCTACTTTTGGGTAACAAGTCAGTACGTGGCTGGAACAGCCAGTAGTTATACATTTAATTAGGTTTTTCCATATAGATAGGAAAACCTATAGTCTCAGATATAGGCGGCTTTGCCGCAGATAAAACCGAGAAATACAGTTTGCGTAATTAACTCTACCGTTTACAACGGTAGAGTTAACCAGCCTTGGGTTAAGGTTGTTGCTACTCTTGGAGTAAGCAAGTTGCGATCCGCTACAATCGTACGAGTTCTAAGTATAGAACGAGGGTCACCGTCCTTAACCAAGCTTTCTGTACGCGATAGAGCTACGGCAGCCCCGCTATATAACGGGCACCAAGTATTGGTGCGCAGATGTGAAACTGCTGGCGCGTTTCACATGCGGCGATACCTTCGAATAGCCTGTCTATTGGCCGAGTGTCGACAATGTAAATGTCATGGGTTTACCCGTATCCTGGTATACAAGGACAGGTCACACCATCTTGTGTAACCATACGTAGGTGTGGATTACATAA